GGGGGGTGCAAATAATAATTGGAATAGCCCATTGTCAATATTAAACCCCAAAGATTGATTGCCATCATCATGTGGTTGGATTCCACAAAAACATTTCTATTATATTGATTGGACATGCACAAGTGAATATAACATGACACCGCAAAATATACTGCAAGATTGTCTTGGATAAAACATTTCAAAAGACAAGATCAAAAGGTGATCCCCTCAAACTGAATGTATTTCACAATAGAATGACGATTGACGTTGGCATATTTTTATCCGAGATAGCAATTTCCTTCCCAATTGTTTTAACATCAAAAGACATGATTATTTTTTTACAATATCCTAACAATATTCCAATCAATAATTTCCATATATGTATGTGATGGCAGGATAATAAAACAGATATATATTTCTTCCGACATTTGAAAACAGACATGCATATTTTTATACAGTATTAAATTTCCCCGTGATATAATTTTCAATTGTCTAAAAAACTTGCGTAATGAAATATTTAAAAATTCTAATTCAATAGAAAGAAGAAAAACAGAACACAATTCTAATTGACTGAAAAGGTTGAAAATATCTGATATGGTAAAAGATATTAAAAACAACAAATTATTATAAGTGGTTTCCATTCGTCATGAAAACATTGAGTTATTCGTCTATAATCGTCTCATGATTTCAACAGCTAGTTTCTAAAAATATATGAAGAGTTTTTTAACTTAAGCAGTTGCGAGAATTGAATACAAAAAGCTTTATTTTAAGACCGCCACGAACCTTTAGATGTCAGAGAATATATATTAAGAAGTCAAGATGCTATATGCCGAATGAATAACAATGTTATCGTTTGAAAAATTCCATGTATATTATCGCTACGCCACAGTCAATAAAACATTAATCTTCAGGCATATAGCTACGTGAGAGTCTTCGTAAAGCTTCGTTTGCTGGCTAAACTTACCCGCTTCATTAGCAGGAGGTGGTTCAATCGATTCCTCGTTCTGTTCTTGTAATAACGGCGCTGTTTCACAAGTGTTTATACTTTCGTTCGTCTCAGCCATTTTTTCCTCTGAGCGCTCGCGGAATTTGCATGTCACGTGATGGGAAAATTTCACCTGCTGCACTGAGCTCAATGTACAACTGAATCCAACTGAAACGGCCACATAATAATACTGTTCGTTTCTATTATATTGGCCACCAAATACAAAACAACTACATATAATAAAATAGGTGACAGTATCCAGGCTGTAAAATAATGTTTCCTGCGCAAAACTTCTTGCAATTATGAAATCTGCGCAAAATTCCTCAAATTACAAAGCTGCAAATAATTTCTGCAAATAATTTCTTTAGACATGCGTCAGCTGATTAGATATATTGCACACTGATATATTTAATTTAATAATTGCATTTTCAAAACGAGTTAAATTTTTTCTAGCAGTAGTCCAGTTTTCGTTTAGAGTTCAGTGAGATGAGCCTACAAATGATTGCGTGCGGTATATCCCATGGGGAAGAAAACTAATTAAAAATGCAGAATTGAAATATTTGTGTTTTTGAATTCCAAAATATATTATATTTATAAAACAAAAAATCAAGTAAAAAAACATGTCTTTTAGCAGTAGTGCGTTAGAAAAGAAACTCGGGGAGCTATCTAACTCACAACAGAGTATACAAACGTTATCATTATGGCTGATTCATCACCGAAAACATGCGAAAACAGTCGTTGATGTGTGGTTGAAACAGCTTATAAAGGGTAAACATTTGGTATTTGTTGGTTTCAAATATTAATCCAAGTGGTATTTGTACTAGAGTTATTATCACTACTACAGCTTTAGCTGATGTATATTTGATACCTCCTTGGAGATATTTGGCATACCTAAGTAACTGTCATGCTTTGTGTGGGGGGCGGGGGGAGAGAGGACTCACAGGTGTTCGTTGTGGGTGTATCATGTCAATAAACTTGGCATCTGGTTTCGTAATCTCTTAATAACACCCTAACCACCACCAGCAACAAACGCCTAGTCCAGTGTGGAAAGTTTGTATCGCGCGGCGGATATTAATTTTGATGCTTACTATATATTTACTATTAAATTTTCGAAATCTCCGGCACGCAATTTCCAAACTTTCCAGTCTGGCGCCTAGTAAGTAGTATACAAGTTCTGCTTGTATTTTTCACTATTAAACTTTCTTAAAATCTTGGGTGCACAATTTCCAAACTTTCCTGCAGTCGGGGAAATCGATCGTCTGTCAAGATGCATAATCAGTTTATTAATGGTCATCGGTCTGACTGCAAATACAAGATAAACCAGCACGATTGCTAGAATAGCACAACCTCACTATACTGCCACTAAATCATGCATATTTTTCAGATTGTTGCCACATTTATCTGCACACTGTCAGACAGATCGTCTTTGTCAATTGTTCACAGTTTGAATTGGGCCATCTGTTTTGCAGTGAAGAATTTCGGCCAATATGCGTTCGGTGATCAATATATTTGTGCCCAATTTGCTTCTAAGGGGTCATATGCAAATAATCAGCCTTCGAAATTGAGATCGGGAAAACAACAGGTCTGCACTTTAGTTGGCTTTGTTGAATTCTGACCTCGGTTTTGAGGGCTGAATACTAATTCTAAAACACTAAAGTATATTTTCTATTTACTTCCCGTCACAGCAAAAGCTTCCAAAAAGCTGACATACATGTATCTTTGTAACGATGTGCTACAAAACAGTCGAAGAAAAGGAGCAGAATTTAACAAAGAGTTCGTTCAAGTGTTACCGAACGCCATCACGCATTGTTCAAAGTAAGATGGAATTTTGTTGTGTAATCTATCCAGGATGGTCTGGAGATTTTGAGGTGTTCGGCTCACCGTGAATATTTCTATATTGTAGAGAGTTAACTCCGGAAATGCAAAAATCCTTGGAAAGAATTATTGGTATCTGGTCACAGCGGGGTGTTTATGATTCTGGCATGATTGAGAAATTACAATCATCACTAGGTACTGTTTAGTAAGAGCAATGCCTCATTGATGCAGTGTTACTACAGAAGGAAAACTAAACTAACTTTATTTATACTGGATAGCTCTATCAGTTATAAACTGTTCTCCCTAGAGGTCCAGTAAGGATCATCTCTTATTTATCCAGTGTTACTACAGGAGGAAACCTAAACTAAAATAACTTTACTGGATAGCTCTATCAGTTCTAAACTGTTCTTCCTAGAGGTCCAGTAAGTATCATCTCTTATTGATCCAGTGTTGATACAGGAAGAAACCTAAACTAAACTAACTTTATTTAATATACTGGATAGTTCTATCAGTTCTAAACTGTTCTTCCTAGAGGTCCAGCAAGGATCATCTCTTATTGATCCAGTGTTACTACAGGAGGAAACCTAAACTAACTTTACTTATATTGGATAGCTCAATCAGTTATAAACTGTTCTCCCTAGAGGCCCAGTAAGGATCATCTCTTATTTATCCAGTGTTACTACAGGAGGGAACCTAAACTAAATTAACTTTACTTATAGTCTTATACTGGATAGCTACTGTTCTCCCTAGAGGTCCAGTAAAGGTCATCTCTTATTGATCCAGTGTTACTACAGGAGGAAACCAAACTAAACTAACTTTATCTATACTGGATAGCTCTATCAGTTCTAAACTGTTCTCCCTAGAGGTCCAGTAAGGATCATCTCTTATTGACCCAGTGTTACTACAGGAGGAAACCAAACTAAACTAACTTTATCTATACTGGATAGCTCTATCAGTTATAAACTGTTCTCCATAAGACTTCTGTTCTCCATTTAGCTTTAGGTTCAAGTAGATTATCGCCGGTGGCCAAACGTCCTCGGATAGAAGTAGAAACAAATAATGAAGATAATGAAGGCGATGATGATGACGATGTTGTGTCAGAAAGCGATGATTCTGTAGAACCACCAGATGTATGGGATTTAGTGTGGTTTAATACAACATTTCAAATCCATAGACATAAATACTATATGCACAAAATTAGATCATTCTGTAATTAACAAATTAAGTCGCATTGCACCCTAATCTACCCAAATTTATCATGCTACTTTTGGCTAAATTACTTTAAAAAAGAATGACCGAATGGCATGGAGAACAGTGTGATTTTTAAACAATGAAAAGACAATGGAACATTCTGATCACTGGATGGCATGGAGAACAGTGGGATTTTTAAAACAATGAAAAGACAATGGAACATTCTGATCACTGGATCATGACTGGATGGCATGGAGAACAATGCAATTTTCAAAACAATGAAAAGACAATGGAACATTCTGATCATTGGATCATGACTGGATGACATGGAGAACAGTGAGATTTTCAAAACAATGAAAAGACAATGGAACATTCTGATCACTGGATGGCATGGAGAACAGTGAGATTTTCAAAACAATGAAAAGACAATGGAACATTCTGATCACTGGACCATGACTGGATGACATGGAGAACAGTGGGATTTTCAAAACAATGAAAAAACAATGGGACATTCTGGAATGGAACTTAATTACCTTCATTGCAAAACCAAAATATTTATCGAACCATATTATTACAGTAATTGTAATTCTTCTGAATTAGCCAATACCAAGTCCGCTATATTGTGTTTTTCACATTGAAATTGCGTCGCTGCTGTTGCGTCCCTTGACCAGTGAATGGACAACTTGCATGTTTAGGCTAAATTTTAATCTAAGTAACGAGAAGGGAATCAAACACCACAGCTAAAAAGAACATAATGAAATTAGTAAAATTGCAAGATTTGGTTGCGAAATGTTGTAAAGCTTGGAAAATATAGCCTTGCAAAGTTTGCAAATTTTGTATATGTTTGTATTGCGTGAGGAAATTGTTACCATTTTCGGCTCAAAAACGGTAACAATTTCCGCACGTAATACAAACATACACAAAATATGCAAACTTCGCAAGGCTATATTTTCCGTATTTTACAACATTTCGTAACCAAATTTTGCAATTTCACTAATTTTAATAAGTTCTTTGCGGGAATTTACTTTTCTTAGTCCAGATAAAAAATTAGTCTAACATGCAAGTTGTCTATTGCCAGGATAAAGAGCATTGTAGAAAATCTTTCATAACCATCTTTCTATTCTCTCTCGTAGTCAGATTATTTGATCAAGGCTTTACAAGATCTAGAACGTAGCGCATCACAAGATGCAGAGGTTCGCGAGAGAATTGCAAATCTCCCAACCGAAGTACAAGACGCTTCAGGATTGGAGAAAATAGAAGGTATCTTTCATTTCGCGGGTAAAAATCTCGCAGCTTGTCAAGAAGATGTGTTCGCATTGCTTGTTCCCAGTTGTTGACAAGTCTGGAACGAGTTGTTATCATCTTGTAACAGGGTTGACGAGGCCAACAGACTCGCAACAAGTTGTTCCAACAAGTCTGATATCGTCTGCACGCAACAAGTTGTTAACAAGTTGATGACAACAAGCTCGTAGCAACTTGTTACGAACAGCCTGTATTAGTCTTGTTGAAACAACTTGTAGCAAGTTTGTTACCGTCATCAACCTTGTAACAAGGTGATAACAACTTGTTCCAGATTTGTCACAACAACTGCGAACACTTTATCTGCTATATTAAACATTATAAATTGATACCTAATTCATTTCGATGTTCCATCTAGATCGTGAAAGTGCTGAAAAGCTAGCGAAAGTTGTCGAAAGCGCGTGCGTGTTGCTGGCAGACTATAACGGTAGATTATCTGCAGAACTAGACGATAGAACGGCAGTTTGTAAAATGCTCCGAGCTTATTTGTCTTCCCAGAAGAAGAAAGTGTCGGATTGCGATCAACGAATAGAGGTACATGGGTACTTCAATATTATTTTGTGTTGAAAGATATTTGGCAATTTTAATTCCTCTCATAGCTACGAAATAATTGGCAATGTCTCCTAATGGGAAACATGGCTATAGGAAACGATGTTTCCTGCTTTGGTTTGTCCATCTTCAGGAAACATGGCTAGAGAACAATATTTCCTGGTTTGTCTACCTTCAGGAAACATGGCTAGGAAACAATGTTTCCACGGGTTTGCCCACCTTCATGAAACATGGCTAGGAAACAATGTTTCCGCGGGTTTGTCCACCTTCATGAAACATGGCTAGGAAACAATGTTTCCTGGTTTGTCCACCTTCATGAAACATGGCTAGGAAACAATGTTTCCGCGGGTTTGTCCACCTTCATGAAACATGGCTAGGAAACAATGTTTCCTGGTTTGTCCACCTTCATGAAACATGGCTAGGAAACAATGTTTCCTGGTTTGTCCACCTTCATGAAACATGGCTAGGAAACAATGTTTCCGCGGGTTTGTCCACCTTCAGGAAACATGGCTAGGAAACAATGTTTCCTGGTTTGCCCTGGGCCGTAGTTTCTGCCATGTTGATAAACTAATCATATACTTGGGTCTTACTTGACAGAGATACAAGGCGAAGTTAGAAAAGGTCGCGTTGGTCAGGAAAGAACTCAGATCTCATTTGGACAACCTGCCTGATTTGAGCCTCCTACCCGACGTCACTGGCGGGCTGGCCCCCCTACCATCTGCGGGCGATCTATTCGCAAGGTGACCGTGAGTGTGGACTATCGATATATACTCAAACATTCAATGACCTTGTCCTTGATTGACAAAGTGTAGTGTATATATGTAACTTAGATATTGCGGATTTAGATACGATTTTAAATAACTTAACCAAACTATTCTTAGCTGTAAATTTAATACAATTCCATTAAACATATCGTTTTTGCTGTTTCTTCTTTGCAAGTGTTAACATTCGAAAATTTTGATGTTTTCTGGCTAGGAAACATTGTTTCCTGGTTTGTCCACCTTCAGGAAACATGGCTAGGAAACAGTGTTTCCTGGTTTGTCCACCTTCGGGAAACATGGCTAGGAAACAATGTTTCCTGGTTTGTCCACCTTCAGGAAACATGGCAGTGATTCCACTTTCAAGGAAATTTCCTTTTTCAAGGAAATTTTGACTGAAAAAAGACGTTTCAAGGAAAAAAAAGGAATCAAGGAAATCTAAGGAATTTTTAAAAATTCTAAGGAAATTTAAGGAATTTTTGAATCAACTGATTGAACTGAAATGTTTTGAAGATGAACCTTTCATTAATTTTAAATTATATTACTTTCCTTCGCTCATAACCAATATGTCTGCGTTAAATAATAAAAAAACCTCATTCGGAGCCTGTGACCGAGTCAGTGGAATCTAAAATTATTAATGAAACTAAGTAAGTAGGCTGCACACAACCTGAATTTTAGGCAGGTAGCGTGCTGCGTGCAGGCCACCACGTGTTAGCTGCACAGGTTTGATGTTCCCTGGATTCCAGAGCCTTCGACAGTAAATAATAAATTGAAACGTCGCGAAGGCTCTGGTTCAACGGGAAGATTCTTTGATTAAACCGCGCCAATCACAAAACAGAATTAGTGGTTTTAGTACAGAATCAAAGAGGCCCAAAGAGTCTTCCCGTTGAACCAGAGCCTTCGCGACGTAACCGACGTTTCAATTTATTATTTACTGTCGAAGGCTCTGGAATCTAGGGTAGCTGTCATGCGAATTTATATGAATTTATTTGTCATGTGAATTTGTTGACTCAGTTAACGTTGAGAACAATATTAAAATTCTGGTATTTTACATTTTAAAGCTTTCAAAATTGTTGTGTAAAGGCTTTGTTTTTAAGAGTTGTACAAACGAAATGTACCATTCTGTTTCTGTCTTATTTTATATAAGTATTATGATTCTAGTTGCCGAAATATACTTCGGTTAATCAAGGAAATTTCAAGGAAATTACATCCTATTTCAAGGAAATTCAAGGAAATTTTAAAGCAAAATCAAGGAAATTTCAATGATGCGTTGTGGAAACACTGAAACATGGCTAGGAAACAATGTTTCCTGGTTTGTTCACCTTCAGGAAACATGGCTAGGAAACAATGTTTCATGGTTTGTCTACCTTCAGGAAACATGGCTAGGAAACAATGTTTCCTGGTTTGTCCACCTTCAGGAAACATGGCTAGGAAACAATCTTTCCTGGTTTGTCCACTTTCAGGAAACATGGCTAGGAAACAATCTTTCCTGGTTTGTCCACTTTCAGGAAACATGGCTAGGAAACAATCTTTCCTGGTTTGTCCACCTTCAGGAAACATGGCTAGGAAACAATGTTTCCTGGTTTGTCCACCTTCAGGAAACATGGCTAGGAAACAATCTTTCCTGGTTTGTCCACCTTCGGGAAACATGGCTAGGAAACAATGTTTCCTGGTTTGTCCACCTTCAGGAAACATGGCTAGGAAACAATGTTTCCTGGTTTGTCCACCTTCGGGAAACATGGCTAGGAAACAATCTTTCCTGGTTTGTCCACTTTCAGGAAACATGGCTAGGAAACAATGTTTCCTGGTTTGTCCACCTTCGGGAAACATGGCTAGGAAACAATGTTTCCTGGTTTGCCCACCTTCGGGAAACATAGCTATTTATTTAATAAAATTTGATACCATATATGCATGTGTAGTGTTTGGACTGTTTTTGTTTATATTTTACGTGTATTATTAAATATTTAACATAACAATTTATTAATTTAACGCATATTAAGTCTAAAAAGCATTCAAATGCTACAGTATTAGCTTATACTAGTAATAAAGTCATATCGCTTTTTTGTTAACACACACAAGCACATATTTATGCTTCAATATAACAGTACATTTAATATAAATGATTACCGAATTATATAATATAAATACTACTTCTCTGTTGGCACAGAATAGAATCTTTTATCACGCTAAAATGAATCGATTAAAAATATCTTGTAAATGACTCTATTTCCTCATCTTCGCTTATGCTCTCGCTTGCAAAACGGATTATAACCGTTTGGTTTCTGCGAATTTTTATTTTTGGGTAATTTCCTGTTTCATTTAAACCCCAATCTTCCTGACGGTACCTGTGGAATTTCCAGAAGCTACACTCGCAAACTATTTTTTGTAACTTTTAGCTTCGCCTCGTGAAATTGCAACGTGTTCAACATATACTTGTTATTTATTGGTATATAATTTCTGGAGAAATTGTTATGAGGTTGGATATCACTGTAGAAATTCTAAGCTTATCTTTTCTTGATTGCAAATCGCAAAGATCATTTAAAATGACAATATAACTGCTTTCGTAGAATACTTGTAGCTTTGTTCCTCTCAGAGATATTCAACTTTGATATGCAAATATCATCAGTGTGACAGCACACTGCATAATGAGTTTCTATAACAGAGTGTTTATCTTGTGGGGTAAGGAATATTTAAAATTGTGCCTATACGAGGATAAACCAGTTGAGGAGGGGCATATGACTAGAAAATTGACGGTGTTATTTTGTTAGTCTAAATTGAAAGATCATTGAAAACTGTAGAGTAAGTTCTTTGACAGATTTTTGTTTTCTTGCTTCGTTTTGGAGATATTTCATTTTGTATGATATGCAAAGGATCAACTTTTTACGTCACAAATGCATAATGACTTACTTTAAAATGTTATATAATTTTATCACTATCAAATAAATTCGCTCAAAATGAATGATGAGCACGAAATTTGTCCACAACAACACCCATGTAGGTTCTCTACTGATTGTGTTTAGTCGTATTAAAGATATACAGTTTTTTTAGGGCTAAATCATTATGCATATGTGACGTAGGAAGTTGGGCTTTGCATATAAAATGAAATATCTTCAAAACGAAGCAAGAAAACAAAAATCTGTCAAAGAAGTTACTCTACAGTTTTCAACGATCTTTCAAATTATACTAAACAATAACACCGTCAATTTTCGAGTCATATGCCCATTAGTCCCCCGTATCTCTGTGTGTGGAATATTTTAATCAATTTCAAAATTAATGATGCTCTTCCAAAATCTCATTACGCAGTGATACAAATGATATTTGCACGTCAAACAAAGTTGAAGATCTTGCGAAAGAAAAGAGCTGCAACTATTCTACTAAAGAGATTATATAATATATAGTCATTTTAAATTATCTTTGCGATGAAATCAAGAAAAGGTTGGGTAAAATTAAGTGTCATAAGCACTTTAAACAATCACACATGAACGTATAACCGAATTTGGGCTGATTATATGGGTACAGGGGTGTCCTCGAGGAGGGCGATTTCTGATATAAAAATGGAATGGCACTTTCACAACAACAGAATATACAAACGGGTTGTCGACGGTTTACCATCCTTGTGCTTCCTACTTCCATTGTGAGTGTCAACTTCAGTTGTAATCAGTAGATATCATATCTCCATTGACTTGTGTGGCAGTACCTTCACTGGTTGCATCCCCCCCAGGATCAGGCGTATTGTTACCGCTAACTGAACTGAATGCAGTGTTTTCAGCAGAATCAAATGCAGATTTGGCAGGAGCCGTGAAATCTCTAGGGCTCATACAGTCACTGGAAATATCGTCACTAGATCCGGAATTCACACTCGCATTAGAGGACTTTCGTGGCCTCCATGATGTTCGATCATCCACCTGAAAATGTACAAGGTGGAAATTTAAACCAAAATTCACGCAGACTGTTCAAGTGACATGTGCAGTGAGGGTGTCTATGGGCATACGTGTCTTTCGCCTTTTTCACCAGAGTTCCATTTCGACAACATTCAGTTGTCTAATTATAATTTCACCTCAGTCACATGTGAGAAGAATGCTTCCAGTTTGATTCTACTTTAACTATAAGAGATTATCCTTACTGGACCTCTAGGGGGAACAGTTTAGAACTGATAGAGCTATCCAGTATAACTAAAGTTAGTTTAGTTTAGGTTTCCCCCTGTAGTAACACTGGATCAATAAGAGATGATCCTTACTGGACCTCCAGGGAGAACAGTTTAGAACTGATAGAGTTATCCAGTATAAATAAAGTTAGTTTAGTTTAGGTTTCCTCCTGTAGTAACATTGGATCAATAAGAGATGATCCTTACTGGACCTCTAGGAAGAACAGTTTAGAACTGATAGAACTATCCAGTATAAATAAAGTTAGTTTAGTTTAGGTTTCCTCCTGTAGTAACACTGGATCAATAAGAGATGATCCTTACTGGACCTCTAGAAAGAACAGTTTAGAACTGATAGAGCTATCCAGTATAAATAAAGTTAGTTTAGTTTAGGTTTCCTCCTGTAGTAACACTGGATCAATAAGAGATGATCCTTACTGGACCTCAAGGAAGAACAGTTTAGAACTGATAGAGCTATCCAGTATAAATAAAGTTAGTTTAGTTTAGGTTTCCTCCTGTAGTAACACTGGATCAATAAGAGATGACCTTTACTGGACCTCGAGGAAGAACAGTTTTTACTGAGCTATCCAGTATAAATAAAGTTAGTTTAGTTTAGGTTTCCTCCTGTAGTAACACTGGATCAATAAGAGATGATCCTTGCTGGACCTCTAGGAAGAACAGTTTAGAACTGATAGAGCTATCCAGTATAAATAAAGTTAGTTTAGTTTAGGTTTCCTCCTGTAGTAACACTGGATCAATAAGAGATGATCCTTACTGGACCTCTAGGAAGAACAGTTTAGAACTGATAGAGCTATGCAGTATAAATAAAGTTAGTTTAGTTTAGGTTTCCTCCTGTAGTAACACTGGATCAATAAGAGATGATCCTTACTGGACCTCTAGGAAGAACAGTTTAGAACTGATAGAGCTATCCAGTATAAATAAAGTTAGTTTAGTTTAGGTTTGCTCCTGTAGTAACACTGGATCAATAAGAGATGATCCTTACTGGACCTCTAGGAAGAACAGTTTAGAACTGATAGAGCTATCCAGTATAAATAAAGTTAGTTTAGTTTAGGTTTCCTCCTGTAGTAACACTGGATCAATAAGAGATGACTCTTACTGGACCTCTAGGAAGAACAGTTTAGAACTGATAGAGCTATCCAGTATAAGTAAAGTTAGTTTAGGTTTCCTCCTGTAGTAACACTGGATCAATAAGAGATGACTCTTACTGGACCTCTAGGAAGAACAGTTTAGAACTGATAGAGCTATCCAGTATAAATAAA